CTTTGAGTTTTGTTATTAAATTAAATTTTAAGGTTAACTCTATCATCCCCCACCCAATTATTGTCCTTTTGAATAATTAATCTAATGAAGGGCTTCAATTATCTATAACTTATACATATTTTATAAATAACTTTTTAAATGCAAACATTGGTGTTAAAATCTCTCTCTCTCTCTCTCTCTCTATATATATATATATATATATATATATATATATATATATATATATATATATATATATAATAATCGAGTTCACCCCAATCAAGGCAGTAAAGTCAGTAAGAGCAAAAGGGTTACTACGTGTGAAAGAATTAGAAAATAAACATTAATAATGAGCGATAACAATTTGAAACAATTATCAAGGGTAGGCTGAATGGTGTCAGCCTAAAAGATCATATTCGCAATAACGTAAAAAGCAGGACCCCAGTAAACGTTATTGAAAGTTGACACAATTTGTTGTGTTCATTTATTCACAAGTAAAGGATTAATTCTAACAAAATGATTAATTTCCTTTGTTCTATTCCTTTATGTCAGGTTTATTTCGTTAGCCAAGTATTGTTTTTCGATGCGAGGACAACACTATCTAAATACTCCATGGGATAAGATCGTTGTACCTTGTGCTATATAGGTAAACATCCTTATCATCTGTAATTCTCTTTACTTATCTCTCAAAAAGGAGACAGAAGGTAAAGAACTGGTAGAGGCTGCATTAAAAGTGTGGAAAAGCATTAGAAAGGAAGAATGCAATAGTTTAGTGATGTTTGGATATGACCGCAAGGTAGCAAAGATTTCAAATCTGGTCTTTTCTTCCTCTAGTTGGAATGCCTTCACGGGCTGTCGAATTCACTTTACCAGAATCAGTTGTTTATGAGGTGCCAGTAGTCTGCCTCTTCTCCGTCTTGGAGCTGGACTTAGGCGTCACAGGCTGATGGTGACTCATATCAGTTAAAAGACTTGGACACAGCCTTGATTTTTTTATATTTCTTTTTTGCATCTGTTAGGTTGGTCAAAAAGTTATTTCGGTTATTAAGATGAGACTTTACATATTACACCGAACTTTTTGACTAACCTAGGTATCTCCACGAGATCGCTAAAAAAAAGAGCATAGCATGATGAAAAAGATGCCAAACTTGCCGAAAACAAAATTTTATCATCTAAATGTTTATGTTATTATTAAGAGGAAAGATCAAATGTTTGGGGGTATTTTTTACATTTTTAATCGTTCCTAGCACGTCCAAAATTTTCGTTAAAAATCTTGTTTTTTTTATTTTTTGGAGTTACCAAAATTGACCATATTTTTCCATTTTATAAAAAAAACTGGAAATCTTGAAATTTTTTTAAATATCAATTATCATTTTTTCAAAACTTATTTTAAGAAAATCAGAAATTATAATGTTTATTTAAAATATTTTGAACCAAGTTTAAACATCCGAAAAGATGTAATTTGAAAATAAAACAAAGCAGGTCATAAACTTTCGCGTCACTTGACAGGTGATGAATGATATATTGACGGATTCCGTGAGGCTAATTTTTTCTACGGAAGCAGAAAAGTGAAATAATTTACATTTAAGTGAAAAACTAATTTACCTCGTTATTTTTAAGGAAAACTTTCAGCTTTCACCTTAACGTTTACGAGGCTTTATGGAAAATATATTATAAAGAAATTAAAATAAGACTGTTAAGAGTGAGATTAAATTTATAGTTACCTTTCTTATGTAATTTTATCAAAGTGTACATAAAATACTATAATTTTATGTATATTTATTACATTTTACTGTGTTATTTGTATTTCCATTCATTTTATTATTAATTTTGATATTTCATTTATGGAAAAATGTCATAACTGAGATTAATACAAAAATAAGATCATGTAAATTTCATAAGATGATACTGATACTTGTAGGTACCCTTCTCAGTTGAAATTGAAAAATGAAATTAACTTCTCCACACGTGTTTTGCAAAAGTAAAGGCCTTAACAGCTGAGAACAGTCTTAGATACATAGAGAGATAGGGACAGGCTAAGATAGATAGATAGATAGATAGATAGATAGATAGATAGATAGATAGATGTTTATTCGGGCAGCATTCCCTCTTTAGTACATGTTTCATTAAAGAATTCTTCTGAGGTACCTTGGGATTTTCGTTGATTTTCTTGTATACGTCTTATTTGTTATCTTCTGTCTCCATGTAACCTGTTCTTTTATTGTCTTCTCACTTTATTTCTTTTTTTCAGATTCTTTTACTCTCAGTGATCGCTGGCGTCTAAATGGTTTTATTGTCTTGTTTAATATGAGCTGATTAAAGAAAATCTTTAGCGGAAAACGTTCACAAAGAACTGTTGGCAATGTTAGATAACATTGACATATTTAAGAAGGATATTAGAATAATCCAGAATCTATACTGGGAGCTAACCACCTGCATGCATATGGAAAATGACTTCAAGTAGATATACAGAAATAGAAAGGGATGTAAGACAAGGATGTGCCTTCTCACCGGACTTATTCAACCTATAAAGTGAAGCGATTCTGAGAGAACTAGAATGCTGAACAGGATTCATTATCCGCTACCACAATTTTAGCAGCATAAGATATGTCCATGAGACAGTGTTGATAGCTGACATAGAAAGAAAACTGCTACAACTCCAACAAAAGTTAATGAAGGAAAGCGAGAAGAAAGGACTAAGCATAAATTGCAAGAAAACATAATAAATGGTTTACAGAAAAAGGAAGAGCCTAACATACAAATTACAAATTGGAGATACCAAAATCAAACAAGTACAACAATTTATATATCTGAGAAGTGTTTTAACAGAGGACGGAAAGTCCAAACACGCACTGGAGCAATTAAAGATGCCTTCCAAAAGCTGATCAAAGTATTAAGAAACAGAATAATTTCGTTAGAAACAAAGAAAAAAGTACCTAAATGTTACGTAATATGGTTCTTCCTATATGGCAGGAAATTCTAGGCAATCTCCTCAAAGATGAAGGAAAGAGCAACAGAAATTGATAATACAGAAGTATGCTGAGAATCCCATGGTCCAAATATGTGAGTAACGGCGAAGTTTTTAGAGAAAATGGAAACAAGTAGAAAACTTATAGTTTACACCAGGACGAGAAAGCTGAAATCTCTTGAGCGCATGAGAAAATTGGGTTTGGAAAATTTTATCTCACAAGACAGATTCAAGGGAAGCTGGAGAGGGAAAAACACATAATGAATCACGTGAGATGGAGTAAATGGAAGGAGGAGCAATGTTTCGTATAAATAACAAGACAACATTTATAAAGAGCTACGAAGGAGAGGAAATTATGGAGAGCTATGACCACCAACATCCTGAAGGGGCACGTGTCATCAAAATCCAGAAAGGTAGATACTTACGTGTATAAAAGCAAAACATTAAAAAAATTAACTAATATATATATATATATATATATATATATATATATATGTGTGTGTGTGTGTGTGTGTGTGTGTGTGTGTGTGTGTGTGTGTGTGTGTGTGTGTGTGTAAACAAGACGCTTCTTTAAGGTAAAGCTGCTAGAATATCTTAAAGACATAACACGAGGGAGAAAGAAAAATCAGCCATGGCTGACCACATGTGGAGAGAAAAGAGAGATCACCATAACGCCCCCCCCGCCCCGTGAGATTAAAATAATAGAGAACATCACTGGAAAATACGAAAGCTTAAGGAATCAGGACATATGCTATTCAACAAAATCTCGTAAGTCGGCCATTCATAGAAATGAATACAATATGGGAACCAGAATTAAGCAATCAATAATAACAACCAAATTGCAATATGAGCACAATAAAAATGTTTACTGAGAAATTAGTTTTATAAGTCCTAAAAATCCATCCACTAATGTCCTCAAGAATACATGGCCCGTTGGTTTGATCCAGTTTAATACCTGGAGTTCAATTCTACAGCATTGCTGAGCATAAAACCTGGAAAGTTGAGTTAAAAGGGAGATAAATGAAACATACGGAAGTGGATTGGCACGTGGAACGAGAACAATCTACCTCAACGAAATAAATAGTCTGAAGAAGGCCGGAGCGTAGAAATACCGAAATCTCGTGAACATAAACAATAAAGATGAGGGCAGCAGCACTTTTGTTTATATATGCCGGAAATGTGTGTGCTTGCGTGTCTGTGTATGTGTCTATATGAGCGCACGTGTTTTGTATGAGTTTGTGTAATCTTGAATTTCGTTAACATTTTTATGATATCGCTAAGACTAGAATCCTCAATAGTAATTTTTGACTTCCAAAAAACCTGATTACTAGCAAACATACTAGGCGGTACTACTTATGCTGTGTACTGTGCCCATTATTTATTTATATATATATATATATATATATATATATATATATATATATATATATATAATATAAATGACGTAAATAAAAGTGGCACGACTCAACCGCAGACGGTGAGACTTCAGGCCAATGCCCTCAGGCGTTTATTTATTCAGTAGTAGATACCATGCAATCTTGTGCCGATCGAGGCCGCTGACTCTCATGGACAGGTGGTGAGGTAAGGTCCCCTGGCCTCTAATTTCATCCTCAAAGACTTCTTAAAATGTCGACCACTCATCAATAGGAAGCAATTGCATTTCGATGTCACACACTTGAATCGGATAAGCGGAAAAAGGAGTGGAAACAAGTAAGCAACGCTCCGTGTCGGAAACCCTGAACGGTGGTGATGGTGGTAGGGAAGTGCGGGGAAGAAATGGCGGGAAATGGGAATTTGAAGGAGAAAAAAATAAGGGTAAGTGCATGGGGGGTGTAAGTGAAAGGACAAAAGAGTAAAGTGACATGCTTGAAGAAAAAAAATGGTGCACCAAAAGAAAGAAATCACGTCTTGGCAACGTTTTGTGTTTTCTATTTTTATTTATTTATTTATTTGTTGGATCTGGATGCGAGGAATTCAGGAGTTTTTATTCATTTTTTTCATTTAATTTTTTTGTTTATGCTTATTTTTTTTTCTTTTAATTTCTTCTTTTATAATGCATTTTTTTTTTTTTTTTTTTTTTTTTTGCCTTTGGATATATTCCCATATTTGGTTATTTCTCTATTTCCACTTCTTTCTTTGTTTTCATCATTTCTTTCTGTATCAACCATAGTTATTTCTTGGTCTTTTTTCCCCTGTTTTTGTCTTAAGCCATAAATTTCTTTCTTTCTTTCTTTCTTTCTTTCTTTCTTTCTTTCTTCTGTTTTTTTTTCTTTCTTTCTTTTCGTCACTTCTTTCTCTATTAACCATAATCATTTCTTTCTTTTTCATTGATTTTTTCTTTCCTTGTCTTTCTTTTTGTTACTATTTTTTCTGTCTTAAACCAATCATGATTCTCATTCTTTTTCTTTGTCACTTTCTTTCTTTTTCTTTTTCACTTTTATTCTTTCTTTTTGTCATTTCTTTTTGTATTAACCGTAGCCGTTTCTTTCTTTTTCATTGATTCTTTCTTTTTTGCTGTTTTTTTAGCCTGTTTTTTCTGTTTTATACCATAGTCATTTTGATTTACTTCTTACTGTCACATTTTCTCTCTCTCTTTTTCTTTCTTTCTTTCTTTTTTATTTATTTGTTTCATTCTTTCTTTCTTTTCATTCTTTCTTTTAACTTATTCCTTGTATCTTTCTTTTCTATTTCTTTATCTTTCGCAACATACATTTTCTTTTTTTTTCTTTTGCAACATTTTCTTTATTCTTTCATTTTAATTTCTCAAATTTCCATTTATTTCTCTTTTCTGCATAAACATTATGTCTTTTTTCATTCTTTCTTTCACATAGTTATAACTTTTCCTTTTTTTCTCATTCAACATTTATTACTTTCTTTCTCTTTCTTTTTCTTTCTAATATTGGTTTTCTTACTCTCTTTATTCATTTGGCAACTCTCTTGTATTTCTTTTTCTTTTCCCCATTAATTTCTATATTTTTCTTTCTTTTTATTAACTTTCCTTTCTTTCTTTCTTTCTTGTTTTCTTTATTTCTTAAAACTCTCATTTTCTTTTCCTTTTTCTTCCAAGCCTTCATTACATTTCTTTCTTTCTTTCTTTCTTTCTTTCTTTCACAACAACCTCTTTTTTATTTATCTCTATTTTTCTTCCTTTCTCACTTTGGACTTTCTTTCGTTCTTCAGTTATATATTTATCACCATTATCTCTTCGTTTCTTTCTTTTTCAACGTTCACTTTTATTCTTTACTCTTAGCCACAGGAAGAAGGAACTGGAATCGGGGACCAAAAGATTATGTTTCACAAGTCTTCCATGCAGAGGAGCTTCCGAAAACCCGCCTTTCTCTCTGCTTGCTTCAATCTATCCCTTTCATCTCTTCCCTTCTTCTTTATTCTATTTCCTTACATCGTTCGAAGCGTTCTCGTTCTCATTTTCTTTTTCTTTTCTCCCAAACTTGTTCAACACTTAAGTGCATATAATGTTAATAAAACAAAAACGATGGAAAAAAAATCTGTATTAAGCAAAAACCTAAACGACATAAAAGGCCTTTGCCATGTAAGACCGGAAGTGACGTCCACGTTACAACAGCACTTTCGTTTTTTCCCCTTGTTCGAGACATCACTACAGCACCCCCTTTCTCTATCATCGACCATTCATCACACCATCTGTCCGCAACCAATGGTGACAGGCCTCTTTTAAGGGATTTCATTTCTTCATGGTCGACAATGCAAAAAAGTGGGAACAGGAGTAAGAACCAGTCTTTTTATTTCGCTTGAGTGAATTCAGTAACGTGAAAGCAATGATTTTTTTTCACTTGAAGAAAAAAATACGTTCAAAATGGACCCATGTTTTAGAAACCATTAGATTAAGTGATCTCTTGAATTAATATGGGGTTAAGGAACGAATCGGATTTATAAATTAAAATGTTAGAAGGCAAAGGATAGTGAATCATATAAGGTATTGGTGAAATTTATTCATTTTATTGGTACTTTCTTTACTCTCAATGCTCAGTAAGTGGCAGTACAGTTGTCAACAAGCTTATTTGAACACTTCGTCTATGTATGTGCTTCTTTAAGGACATTGGCGATTATGGCTCTCTGCAGTTTTTTGTCCTTTAGACCTTTTACTAAGGTTTTTATTTTCTGTTCTTCCTCTTTCATTGTTCTGCCAAACATTTACATGATTTTGCTCGGTAGGTTATTCGCTGTTTTTTTCTCTGTCTCACTTGACTTTAATGTGTTTTGTATGCATCACATTCTCCAAGCATTTTTCCTCATCCTTTTCCCTGGAAATTTCAATTATGTCTTTCTGATTCTGACTTTTTGCTTGCCATTTTTGTTTCCATATTCATTAAAACGACCTCGTTATTCACATGTCATTCTCAGCATCCTTCTGTAGATTCGTGTTTTTACGTTTCTGCTGTCTCAAATCTTTTATTCCTCTGTGGTGAGATTGTCCGGCATTTGCTGTTATACAGGAGAACCGATATAATGTAACAACCCATCGCTGTTTTCTTTGTTTCTAACGAAATTTTCCTCTTTGCTAATACTTTGCCTACATTTTCAAAAGCATAATTTGCCATTTCAATACACTTTCCGGTTTTAGTGTTGCATTTTCCGTCTTCTGTTAAAACACATTCCTAGATATTTAAAGTGTTGTATCAACTTGATTTTCCTATCTCCAATTTGTAGTTTGCATCTTGGGCTGTTTATCTTTCTGACAACCAGCTATTCTGTCTTCTTACAATTGATGCTTAGTCATTTTCTCTCACTTTCCTTTAATATGTTGCCTAGGAGTTCCTACTATTTTATTTCTGTGTCTTTTCTCAATACTATGACATCTACTAACGGTATACTAGGCTGGCCAGAAAGTCCTGGCTCATTTAAGAAGCGTAAAGAAAATAATAAATCTTGATTTCTGTCTGGTGGAATTTCCAAGCATTTCGAGTTTATTTCCCACAGTCACATCATCAACGCTAAATTATATTGACAGCAGCTAGACCGCGTGTACAACAAACTAAAGAAGGGGTATCCTGCTTTGGTCAGTCGAGGTCGGGTTTTGTTTCTGCGCAACAATACGAGGCCACACACTGCCAGGTTGAGAAGTTCAAACAGATGGACGGTATTGAGATAATTCCACACCCACCATTCAGTTCCAATCCTGCTCCGGGTAACTATGTGACCAGCGATTCAACACTTTTGATGAAGTGAAGAAAGATTTACAGTTTTTTTCATTCAAATCCAGCGGACTCTTATTTGGGACAGATTCGGATGCTAGTTGATCGCTGGCAGAAGATCATCGATAATGATGGACTTTATTTTGAAGAATAAATGTTGATGTTGCTCCATAAAATTTTGTTGCTTTCTTTCCGCTTCTTAAGTGACTCAGGACTTCCTGGCTAACCTAATATTGCAAAGTTGCTCAGTTCTTTGAGGATACGTCTTTTAATATCTCTAATATTATTCTAACTTGTTTTGATTATCATTTCCATTCAGATGAATGAAGAGAGGCATTAAGGTAACTCATAAAATGAAAAGATACGTTATAATCGTTGGCTTAAAGGCGGAACATAGTGATTTAACGATTGCTTGATACTTAAAGTTGCACGGTCTTTTATTGTTAAAAAGTGCAAAGAGCTGGAGTCACTGACGGGAATTCTACAACCGTAGGTAAATGTAAAACGCCTGCTAAGGATTCTAATATCATCGAAACACACGAATTCGTATGAGAGGTGTTGAGAATTATTGATAAGAACACAAAGTCAATGCTAATGCTAATTAGTTCAATATCTCCAGGCAATGTATCGAAAAAATTGCGCATATGAAGCATCGATACATGCCATATGTGATGCGGAGAGGCCATTTTATGTCTGCAACGACAAAAGATAACCGACTGATCCACGCAAAGCCCTTGCTGAGTAAATTGAATCATCGAAGGCCTGGAAAGTTTTAGTTTTCCTCTTAAGAGAAAAAAAATAATTAACACCAAAAGAGAAATTACTGATAGTCATGCAGAGACCCTAATGACGATTGAACGGATCATGTACACAAAGTTTCCGGTAAATGTGATGGTTCTGAGAGTTGTGAGCAACGAAGAAGATAGCATGCCTTTTCGCTTCTTTTTGCGAGGCTGATGGGTCAATACTACTGACTAAAAAGAGATGTTGGAGTCGTTACTGAGAATTTGGATAGAGAATGTGAACAAACGAAAACCGTAAACCAACAAGTTTATGTGCCATCACATAAGGCCAAGACGACCCAAGAATAGATGAGCTACATTTTCCGCAACTACATTCCCTGGTCCCGCCATGTGAAACCATCACAGCGAGAACACGCCATGCCACTTACATAGTAACACTCCCGACATTCCCTCCGTAGTTAAGAAGTTCCACACGAACAGCTTCTTACCGCTAACCACTGTCATGTGGAACCGACTCCCAACAGGATGTTCCCCGATCACTACAATCTTAAACCATACTGGAAAAAAAGGGTAAACAATACTGTAAAAAAAAAAATCACGTCATCCCAGACATATGTCCACCCAGCTCTCAAAAGTTGAATCTCTTGGACTACTACGTACGGGGCGTAGCAGCGAGGGATGTCAATCAACGCCACCATAGCACTACAAAAACCAAAGTCCGCCATAACGAGCAGCACATTGTCCAAAATAATTATTCACTTATTCTGGTATGTTAACGTTTAAGACCGTCTATTGAAGCAGTTATCGATGCTAACGGCAGATTCGTTAAGGAGATACATCAAGTAGAGTCTTAAGATTGTTACAGCAATTTTTCCTCAAATAAAACTCTTCTTTCATGTATTATGAGTCTTTTAATAAATTCATGCAAATGTCCGCAAAGAACGGAGGTACCACGTACAACCTATGGACAAATTGACAACACCGACTATTTTACACCAAACTTCTAAGTGGGAATGCCAGCTTCGTCTAGAATATAAAAATTCGACCACCTATTATCTACTTTCGAAAACTTACGTCTACCACTGGTAGTCACAATGTACCTATGATTTTTTTTGATTTTTTTTTTTACTGGATTCATCAAATACAAGGTCGAGACCTATTCAAGATCAAGCGATATTGTTAAAATAGTAATATTAAAAGAGGTGTGGGATATGATACGAGGATACATAATGACTTACTCTTGACTTGAATAGCCCAAGATTGAGGTATTCAGGATAAGCACCCACACAGGAGTCCATTCCATTAAAATATCATTGATGGGGAAAAAAATTACAATTGGAATATAGGGAAAATGGGAGTGTTTCGGCACCGTCGAAGTAACACATGTCCTAGCTGTAAACTAGCAACTCTAACAGAAACAAGAAAATTTCGTTAGAAACAAAGAAAAGTGAAAGATTATTTTAATAATTTCTTCTCTCGCAGTTTTGCTAATGGAACTGTCCTCCATGCAATCATTGTATTCTAAACCTCCTGCCAAGAACAGAGTATATGTTTACATATATTTATAAGTTCAGTTGCAGAATTATGCAGGTAATATGATCCAATTATACTTAATTATGTATATGGGATTTCCTCATATCCTAAAATAAAGCCCAAACTCCAAGGGGGTATTTCCTCAGGTTTTACTTCTTCGTCAAGAGAGGACAGAGTTTATTGCCGGGCGCCTAAGCCGTCCCCAAAATGGGAAGTTGCTAGGAGGATAGGGAATTTTCCACGGTACTGCCTATAAGCCCACTTTACAAAGTTATGGCCATGTGTCACATCTGGTTACGTGTTAGGTGCGCTGGTAAATACCAATATGATTTAATTATGAATGCACTTCTACAAACAATTCACTTTGTAAAATATCCACCATCATAAAATTAATAAGATCCCCGTAGGTAATGCCAAAATTAGTTTACTAGTTTGGTCGAGTTTTCTCCAAGAAATGTAAATTTATTAACACACTACTGTTTGCCATCTTTGCTTATTTGCATTATAATAAGCATATCTTATGTTAATGCCAAGATTTATGAAATAATTAGGCGTTTACATCGAGAAAAATCCCATTTGTAGTAAAAAAAAAACGCAGTTTCTTTGAATCATAAGTAATTTCCCTTTGGCAAAATAAATTGTAAAGACAAAGGTACCATCCTAAGTATCCTTTGGATTAATGTACTGGCGTTCAAAATAATATATAAAAAGAATATATTCATTGATTTTATTAAGAAGTTAAGATAGTTTATCAGGATGCTTTTATATTAATGTGAATGTGAACCTTGAATATTGGAAAGAAGTGGCTGCCTTATTGTAGATACTGTTTAACTGAAGCTACACAGCTTTAAGCTCTAAGGACAGCAAAATATATTCTGAGCGAATAAAGGGATATAAAATGAAGATTTCTAAGCAGGAACTCTTCCATCTTATCAACGTGAGACTAATGTGCCTTGACAAGTCATTGTAGTTGAAATCATGGCAAAAGTTTTAGCTGAAATAAATATGAAGGTTCTGATGTAGAAGGGGAAGATGATTCAACGAGAGATAGCCAGGTGGCTTCGAATTTCCAGAAACATTGTTCAAAACACACAAAAATGTTTTTAGGATTGTTTTAAGTGCAAAAATAAAAGGGGGAACCATAAAGGTAGACAAAAGTGATGGAAGAAAGATTGTAGGAATCTCGGTAGGCAATCTCACATTAACATCTAAAGAAGTGAGAAATGAATGAAGCATAACAGTGAAGTTTCATGTGATGCTGTACGCAGTGTATTACGAAAAACATATTGAATTAT